TAGGAAGCCCTTAACGAAACGGGGATTAGTTGGGGTGCTCACATCACATTGAACTTTAACGATTTGAATCATCTTTTTTTCAAGTTGCACCTCATAGATCATGCTTGCAAAATATTAGCCAAATCGGAAATATTTGAGACATCTAATTGAGTTGAAAAAAAAATTGACGAATATAAGGATAATCTATAAATCGAGATTTACAAAATAAACAGTTCGAATCGTTAAAGCTCAATATGAAATGGGTCTTGTGGATGCAAATTTCTTCCTCCTTAATCTTGGACAAAATTGCACCTACAAAACAATTAACACATTTGGTTAAGGTCAAAAGCCTCACGCGCCCACAATGAATTGGGGGGGGGGAGGGCTTTGGCCGAAAAACCTCTGATGTCAAAGTTAGAATTTATAAAGAAAAGTGTTTTGAGAGTTTTTCAAGAGTGTAGACCTAGGTTTTTAGAGAAACTGGGGTTCAATATATAGAGCATGGCCGGACCCCCTTTTGAGAAAAGTTTTCCAGCCCTTTGGGGTATTTTTGTGTGAAATGGGTGATTTAATTGGTAATTAATGGATTAATTAGGAATAAATCCATTAATTAGCCAATTAACTCAATTTATATGGAATGTTTTGAAGGTTATGAAATAATTACCTTGTGGAAAATGTAGGATAAGGATAGATAAAATAACTTTGAATTTGTTACCTATTTTGAGCATTTTTTATAAACCTGGCATTCGTGTCATGTTTTCCGTGTTCGTGTCGTTTTCGTGTCATACCCGATATCTTAACGGGTTGTGTCGTGTAACACCCGTTAAAATAAACGGGTAAAATGACCCGACCTAACATTGACCCGATAATATTAACAGGTAATATGACCTGACCCGTTACCCGTTAAGGAAAATATATTTTAAACCAATAAATAATCAAATGAAAAACATAATACTAAATAAGTATATACATTCCATATTATCACATCCAAAACATAAAAACGCAATTTTGTTTTAAGTATATTTTCGCTTACCTAAAGTCTTTAATAGTTTTTTAATTAATGTAGAAATGTAAAAAAATATAGAAAAAAATATATAAACACTCGTAATGACAAGCTTTATAACTTTCATGAAGAACTTAACTTCGAAATTCGCCACTATAATCATATAAATCATAGATCAAACTTTAACCGTTGATTGTTGTTTACATTTATGCTTCATTGTTCTCATCAAATTTCGTTTTTTTAGATTTTCTTTTTTGAAAACATGATCTATTAGAGGGTGTAGGTAGAGGAACGGTTTGGATCGTTGATATTATATTTAGAGTTTTACGGTTAGTGAAAATATTGCTTGATGTTTATAAAGTTTCTACAAATATATGACATTGACTCATATTTCAGTTAACCGTAAATATCGAAACGTTATATCATCTTCTTACATCCGCCAAATGATCATGTTTTCAAAAAATAAAATTTTAAAAATGAAATTCAGTAAGAAGAATAAAGCGTAAATGACAATCGACGATTAAATAAGTTTAAGGTTTCACTACTACAAAATTATCTATTGCTAGCGGTCCAAAAACTTTTTTCAACGATCCAACCGTCAAACTTATTTGTACACATTCCAAGATCGCATACGTAAAAAATCGTAAAAAAACAAATATTCAGAGATTACGTAATGGAACAAAAGTTTTCGACGGTTATAAACGAAAAATCACAATTTAACGGTTATTTTATCTCCGATTTTGATGATTTTTTACAGATAGACTCCTCGACCTATAAGAATGTAATGAATAAATTTGATCTTTAATTTAAATTATTTATATTAGTGGATACCACAAAAACTTATTTTATACTTAATAGAAGTATAATATTAACTCTAAGTGTTTGTTTAATCTACTGTTTTGATGCAATATGCATTCTACAAAACTTTTTTCAACGATCCAACCGTCAAACTTATTTGTACACATTCTAAGATCGCATACGTAAAAAATCATAAAAAAACAAACATTCAGACATTACGTAACAGAACAAAAGTTTTCGACGGTTATAAACGAAAAATCACAATTTAACGGTTCTTTGAGCTCCGATTTTGATGATTTTTTACAAATACACTCCTCGACTCTATAAGAATGTAATGAATAAATTTCATCTTTAATTTAAAGTATTTACTTTAGTGTATACCACAAAAACTTATTTTATACTTAATAGAAGTATAATATTAACTCTAAGTGTTTGTTTAATCTACCGTTTTGACGCAATATGCATTATACAAAACTTTTTTCAACGATCCAACCGTCAAACTTATTTGTACACATTCCGAGATCGCATACGTAAAAAATCATAAAAAAAAACATTCAGAGATTACGTAACGGAACAAAAGTTTTCGATGGTTATAAACGAAAAATCACAATTTAACGGTTATTTTAGCTCCGATTTTGATGATTTTTTACAGATCCACTCCTCGACCATATAAGAATGTAGTGAATAAATTTGATCTTTAATTTAAAGTATTTACACCAAACTTATTTTATACTTAATAGAAGTATAATATTAACTATAAGTGTTTGTTTAATCTACCGTTTTGACACAATATGCATTCTACGAAACATTTTTCAACGATCCAACCGTCAAACTTATTTTTACACATTTCGAGATCGTATACGTAAAAAATCGTAAAAAACAAGCATTCAGAGATTACGTAATGGAACAAAAGTTTTTTACGGTTATAAACGAAAAATCACAATTTAACGGTTATTTTATCTCCGATTTTGATGATTTTTTACAGATACACTCCTCGACCAATAAGAATGTAATGAATAAATTTGATCTTTAATTTAAAGTATTTACACTAGTGGATACCACAAAAACTTATTTTATACTTAATAGGAGTATAATATTAACTCTAAGTGTTTGTTTAATCTACTGTTTTGACGCCATATGCATTCTACAAAACTTTTTTCAATGATCCAACCGTCAAACTTATTTGTACACATTCCGAGATCGCATATGTAAAAAATCATAAAAAACAAACATTCAGAGGTTACATAACGGAACAAAAGTTTTCGACGGTTATAAATGAAAAATCACAATTTAACGGTTATTTGAGTTCCGATTTTGATGATTTTATACAGATACACTCCTCAACCCTATAAGAATGTAATGAATAAATTTGATCTTTAATTTAAAGTATTTACACTAGTGGATACCACAAAAACTTTTTTTATACTTAATTGAAGTATAATATTAACTTTAAGTGTTTGTTTAATCTACTATTTTGACGCAATATGCATTCTGTTGATGCACAAAACCGGATGGTCTTGGAACAACGTAAATCCGACCGTGAATCTGTAAGAAATATAAATAACACAAGATGTATCGTGGTTCACCCCAAGGTTTGGGCTATGTCCACACTGATTGTATTTCTCTGATTGTATGTATGGATTACAAGGGTGAGGGGGAGTCCCCAGAGAAAGAGAGTGTTGTGGTATTTGTGAGGGTATTGCCCTCTGTTGGATTCATTTAGTCCCATTTGTGAGGGGGGAGGAGTCCCCTTTTATAGAATAAGGGGCTCCTCCTTTTACATAATCATATGGGCTGGGTAATGAGGCCCAATGTATCAAAGTCTGAGGCCCATTATGTGTGGTACCAACAGTAGTCCCCCAAGTCTTCAGTCAAGAGAGTCTTTTGGATGGAGACTTCAAATCCAATCCATGTACGGGCCGAAGTGGCTAGATGTCTTGAACCAGTACTCAACCCAAGGCAATACTCAACATAAAGCAATATTCGGCTAGAGGTATCACACGTTACGAGACTGCTAGGCTGGAGGCGATGCTCGTTGTGAGGCTGCTCGACTAGAGGCTATGCTCGCGGCGAGGCGTTTGCTCGGCTGGATGCGATGCTCGTTGCGAGGCGACTCGGCTAGAGGCTATGCTCGCTACGAGGCGGCTCGGCTCGTGGTATTCCTCATTGCAAGTATCTACTTTATGTCGACATGCACTCAGTATGAGTTGATTCTCGACATGACTCGGGTCTGCTTGTCGGGTTTGCATATTGGGTCTATGTGTCGGATCCGCGGATCGGGTCCGTAACTCAGGTCTTTGAGTCGGGGCAATACGTAGGGTCATCGAGTTGGGTCCAGGCACATAGGTGTCCCAATAAGTGAATGTCTGAGCAAGTGGGTGTTTGGTCAGACAAGAGATCACCACGAGCACGTGGCAGCAATAATGTTGATCAGTGGACCTAGTTGCTCAATAATTCCTGACAATAAATGACAGTATAATCATGAGCGTACAATGAATAAATATAGTAAATACGTAAAAGAAATATGGTAACAACAATTATTTAATATGTATATTTCTTATAAGTGTAAAACCTTGCCATGCGTATTATAGCATAGTTTTAGGTTATAAAAGTGGATTAGTTCTTTTGGATTTGAGCTGATAATTTCAACATAATTTAAAATGCATGGGTGTGGCAACCCACATCCACTTTCAGCATCTGTTGTAAACCTACCATCAGTTAGTGGAAAACATTCAAAAAATAAAATAAAGATATCATCATTGCTCCACCATCACACAATAACCAGTACCATTTGATAAATATTAAATAATAAAAAGATGTCATCATTGTTCCACCATCACATAAATATTAAATAATAAAAACAATTGAATTAGGTGAAGACTTATCTCTTTTTCACGTGTGGATCTGGTGGATCTGACCGACAAGGGCTCTTCCCTTATATTTTCTTTTTCAAAATTATCATGAGTGTGGAAAAAGACAGATGGGTATGGAAATGATGTTGTTGAAGACTTTCTTCCCCTCTGAGTCAAAAGATAAATAGCATGCAAGGCTTGGCTCTTTCGGCCATTTTCTTCCCCGAGAGCTTGCTCTGATCGTCTAGGGTTCGAGACGAGGTAATTGTATTCAGGTGAGGCAAAGAGAATGCTATCAGCTTCTCGGATCTTCTGACGAAATGCTTCCACGACAGGTGGAGAAGTTTCCTTTCCCTCCATATCTGTGTTCAACGGTGGCAGCTTCGGAGCTGGTAGGGAGCACGGGACCCAGTGGTGACACCATAGCTGTCAGTCTTTGAGACAGGGATCAAGGTAGAGAAGTGACACGGTGGAACCAAAGTGAGGGACCCAAGTCTGGACCCAGGGGCATTGTGGTAATCATCTGAAACTGCGTCGTAATAAAGCGTCATTAGCTGAGCAAAACAGCTGGTGAACGGAGCGATGAGGACGATCGGGTCGAACCACAGCCTGAACCAGCCGTCCTTCTTCTTCTGAAACGGGTACCAACGGTTGCATAACAAACCGGAGGGCTTGTAGTCGGTGGTTAACCGGGCTTCCAGCTGGTTCCTGTCATTCCCAGGTATTAAGATTAGAGGGTGGAGGTTGGTAACTCCTGCCTGACACTTGTACAACATCAAAACCATTGATGAGAACACTAGCAACAGTTTCAATCCTAGTGGTGGCTTCATGATTTGGTTCTCTGATATGATGTTTTGGATTTGGCTGTCATCTTTGTTCGGGACCTTGGGTTATAGATAATGTGCAAATATCTTGCTCTGCTACAAGTTTGTGGTTAAGAATGGGATACGTACTCCATGGTTCTTGAGTTTCTGCAGATTTTGCAGTATTGATTTTGCAGATTTCACATATTCACGGTGGAGGTGAAAAAATGAAAGAGAACCAACACAGCTTTTCGTATCATTTCCCACAGACGGCGCCAAATGTTGATGCACAAAACCGGATGGTCTTGGAACAACGTAAATCCGACCGTGAATCTGTAAGAAATATAAATAACACAAGATGTATCGTGGTTCACCCCAAGGTTTGGGCTATGTCCACACTGATTGTATTTCTCTGATTGTATGTATGGATTACAAGGGTGAGGGGGAGTCCCCAGAGAAAGAGAGTGTTGTGGTATTTGTGAGGGTATTGCCCTCTGTTGGATTCATTTAGTCCCATTTGTGAGGGGGGAGGAGTCCCCTTTTATATAATAAGGGGCTCCTCCTTTTACATAATCATATGGGCTGGGTAATGAGGCCCAATGTATCAAAGTCTGAGGCCCATTATGTGTGGTACCAACACATTCTACGAAACTTTTTTTAACAATCCAACCATCAAACTTATTTGTACACATTTCGAGTTTGCATACGTAAAAAATAAACATTCAAAGATTACGTAACGAAACAAAAGTTTTTTACGGTTATAAACGAAAAATCACAATTTAACGGTTATTTTAACTTCGATTTTGATGATTTTTTTACAGATACACTCCTCGACCATATAAGAATGTAATGAATAAATTTGATCTTTAATTTAAAGTATTTACACTAGTGGATACCACAAAAACTTATTTTATACTTAATAAAAGTATAATATTAACTCCAAGTGTTTGTTTAATCTATCGTTTTGACGCAATATGCATTCTACAAAACTTTTTTCAACGATCCAACCGTCAAACTTATTTGTACACATTCCAAGATCACATACGGAAAAAATCGTAAAAAACAAACATTCAAAGATTACGTAATGGAACAAAAGTTTTCAACGATTATAAACGAAAAATCACAATTTAACAGTTATTTTAGCTCCAATTTTGATGATTTTTTACATAAACACTCCTCGACCCTATAAGAATGTAATGAATAAATTTGATCTTTAATTTAAAGTATTTACACTAGTGGATACCACAAAAACTTATTTTATACTTAATAGAAGTATAATATTAATTCTAAGTGTTTGTTTAATATACCGTTTTGACGCAATATGCATTCTACGAAACTTTTTTTAACGATCCAACCGTCAAACTTATTTGTACACATTCCGAGATTGCAAACTTAAAAAATCGTAAAAAACAAACATTCAGAGATTACGTAACGGAACAAAAGTTTTCGATGGTTATAAACGAAAAATCATAATTTAACGGTTATTTTAGCTTCAATTTTGATGATTTTGTACATATACACTCCTCGACCCTATAAGAATGTAATGAATAAATTTGATCTTTAATCTAAAGCATTTACATTTTTTTTATATAGGAGTGATTGTATATATATATTTTTACATTTTTTACACTTCTACAATAATTATTATTAATTTTTCCCTCAAATAAAAAACATTATTCATGAGGGTTTAAAGGATTTTAAAAATCTAAACGATAATATAAGTGTAACAATTATCTATTCATAGAGGAATAATGATAAATCACGAGTGTTTATATATTCTTTCACATTTTTCATACTTGTATGTATGTCTTCTTAGTTCTTGCATATACAAATACTATACTAGTATATTTTAATTTTGGACAAGAATATGTTATGTAAAATTTATCCTAGTAATGATAATAAGGAACTCTCATATTAAAAATAAATAATGACTAAAACTTTTTTTTTTTTTATTTATATAGAACAATAATACAAAACTATATATTTAATATAGAATATATTGTATATATTAATATGACTATTGTATTTTATAATAAATCTTTTAGTAATTAAACTTTAAAATTATTAAAATAATTTTTTTCTTAACGGGTCGAAACGGATTACCCACGTGTTACCCGTGTGTATACCTGTTAAGAACCCGTTATTAACGGGTTCTTAACGGGTCACCCGATAGTGACCCGATAAGTTATCGTGTTGACCCGAAACCCGTTATTTTCGTGTCGTTTTCGTATCGCGTCACCATGTCGTGTCAAAAACTGCCAGGTTTTACTTGATTGAGGGATGATTGTCCACTGCTCACCCGTAAGAATCCCGATGTGCCTCGAGGGTAATTTTGTCATTTTCACCCAAATATCCATGTGTCGCCTCTTGATTATTTTTGGCTCCACATGTCTCATAACTAATCTCCATTTTTGAAGCAATTTTTGAAGCAAAAGTGGGAATCGCTTTAGATAAATGGCATGTAAATATGGAAGGGGACAAGACGCTTGATGCCACTTCTTTGGTTTCTCAAGACTCGGTTTTGACTAAATTATCCCTTATTTATGTTTATTACATTTGCACCCTCCAATTGTCAACAGATACAAAGTACAAGTAACCGAGTTCAAACAGAAGCACTGAAATCTTTGACTTGGTCAATCAGCTGGTTAGACTCAGGTAATTCAGGAAACACATAAAACACGTGGACCATGTTTGGATACTCGATTAGCTTCGCCTCCTTCCCCGATTTCTTCAGCCACTGGTAGTACCTCATCTACCAGTCTTGTAGCGGATCCAATCCCCCTGTGAATACAAGCGTATTCGGATACTCCAGACCCGCAATGTCCACCGCGTTCGGCCCACTCGAGTTTGCCGCCTTGTGGTCCCGGTCCGACCCGTCTGGCAAAAACACTTTCCACAGCCAGTCCGTTTGGGCCACCGAGACCAGAGGAGCTCCATGGAGACGGATCTCAGACTCGACCCGCTCTTCTCCCCCGAAAAATGGTTGTATCGATATCAACCCGACAGGTTTCACGACCCGGAATCGATCTTTCTTTCGGGCGGCGCGAACAGCCACGTGGTGGGCCAGGTTGGCTCCGGCGCTGTCGCCGGCAAAGAAGACTCTGGATCTGTCTGCATTTTTTGGGAGGACGTCGTCGTTTTGGTCGAGGACGGTAAGGACGTCGAACCCGTCGTCATATTGGGAAGGGTACCGGTGTTCGGGGCAGAGGCGGTAATCGACAGATACGACGACAGCGGGAAATTTACGAGCAAACTTACGGTAAACGACATCGTAAGCAAATGAGGCGGAGCTGAGGAAGGTGAATCCGCCGTCGTGGAGGAATACGACGACGGGAAGATGGGATGGAGTCGACAACGTCGTTTGGGGGACGAATAGGCGGAACCAGAGTTTACGAGTGGGGTCCACAGTGACGTCGGATAAGGTGACTTCTCTGATGAAAGCGGCAGGAGCGGCTAAGGACTTGAAGTCGAGTATGTTCATGAGACGGCAATTGACAGTGCCGTCAGCTCGGCGTGCGGCGTCGGTTACTTTTGAGAGAAGGGACAACGACACCCGCGTCCTCCAGCGGAGAGAAGTCCATGACGTTACGGTCTTTTGAGTATTGGATTCCAACGATGTCGTCATGGATGCGAATCGAAACGCCGATAGAAAGTGGAGAGAAAGTTTGATAGTGCGGGTGGCTTTTCCAGTGAAAATATAGGAAGGCCGGATGGAGAGTGAGTAATTGCGATTCAGCGACCAGGCCAACCAACAACTAACTTTTATGGCCGGTAGGCCCACCTTTTTTTTAGGGAACTTTAATGAAAGGCACCTGGTACTGTTCATTTTAACGAAAAACCACATTTTTACACTAAAAAGTCAATCATGGTACTATTCACTTTACCCTTTATTTTGTCCTTATCATTAAAACTCAAAGTTTTCAAACCCTTTTCATTAGTTTTCTCTTTTTTTTTTCTTTAATTGGGTTGTAATATGTCCACACCGTATTGGTGAGTATGACATGCCCGAATCAATGTGTCACAGCCTGTCCCGAGATTTTCTTATTCAAGATGTGAAATGATGGAATTGCCCTTAACGGGCATTAAGGTACGTGGGTGTGTGACATTATTTGGTCTAATCTTAGAAATGTTTTGGAAGAAAATAAATAAGATAAGTTGGCTTATTAATTTGGTTCTTGTTAAATTGGTTAGGGATTTGGAAAAATGGATGGTGTGGATTGAATGTGGGCATCTAAACCTTCACACTCTCCCTTTCTCTATCCCGTAGCCCTCTCTCTCTCCTCCACCTCGACGCACCCTCTCTCTCACACCCATATTGTACGGCCTCAGCCAAAATCCCCCAAAACTCAGTGGATCGAGGTAACCAAGGTAAGAATCTTCATCCTTGAGATGTTTTGAGTTGATTGGTACTGGTTTTAGGACGTAGAACCTTCGATTTCACGTGAATCTGAAACCCCCATTTTTGGTCACTATTCATGCACACGTGAAATGTTGTGTTTCAGGGAATTCTACGCTTATAGTGAGCTTAGTGAGGTCCCAAGGAAGCTCGGAGTGCTTCGTTTGAAGGATTTGGACGTCGGGATCACGAGGGTTAAGTTTGGCCGGTTTTGTTTGAATTTTTCCAGTGAGATTTAGTTGTTTTTGAAGCTTAAAAGTAGTGTATCGTGATTCTACATGTTTGGGGCTTCATTTTGGTATAAAATACGAAGAAAATGGTTGAGAAACGAAGGAGAACGAGACGTTCAAAGTTTGGCCAGAAACCGGCCGCCGGAAAGTTCAGTCCGGCGAGCCCGAGGTTGAAGATGGTGCGCGTGGGGGTGCGTGTCCCTGTGCCTGTCCTAGCGCGTGGGGGCGCGTGCGGCCTCCAAAATTTTTTCTAAAAATTACTCGACGTCCGTGACGTCGAGTAGGTCGATGTGGTATATTCATATACCCAAATTGAGCATCGTATGAGAAGTTATTTCGAATTGTTGGTTATGTGT